CACTTATTAAGTAATATTTCACATGGATAATTTTTCGGAGTATCCAACATCTGTTTGTATTTATTTCAAATTCTTTCACCAGGTAGTGAAATCTTCACAATTACTTGCATTTGATCTAACTTCGCAATGAAAATTTTCAGAAGAAACGAGATGATGCTTTAATTATTTTGTACAGGAAATTGCGTGGTAGAATATTTTCAACCATCTTGCTTAAATCGTAAAGCACGCGGAAGGTTGTGTGACTTAACAGAAATATTACTGGATGCCCATTGGTCCATCCTAAAAGCCACTCCCTCGGTGGCTACACAGATGTGCACTTCTGAAATATGCGTTCCGGCGGCGTAATTAGTAAGTGGACATGGGTATCACAACCGAGGGAGTGGCTTCTAGAGCAAACCAATGAGTTTCCAGTAGTATATTCCATCATGTCACATGACCTGTGCCATACCTACGAACTTTGCAATGGTTAAAGTAAAATTATTAAGAATGCTTTGCCTACTACTTTCCTTTACAAAACAAAACAGTGATTTTCTGCAAAAATAGATAAAATATTACTAGTCGTAAAGATTTCAGTTAAAGCATTTAAAAGGAATACAAAGCAATTATACACTGAATACTGTGAAACAAATGCGAAGTCTAAACAACAGCTCAAACAAAGCTTGGACGTCATAAAAGCATTAGAAGCCTATTGGCCTGTATTCGAAACCCTTCCCGCAGTTGCTGTATGGATGTGCACTTAAGAATTATGCATCCCGACGAGAGCATTGCTCATTTTTGATGTCTGCTGCATCAGTATAACCTAAGGACTGTACAAGGTCACTGTCTACATAAAATGTCGACCCCCCACGGGCTAAATTAGAATTTTAGCCCGTAAACTCATCTTAAGTTTACGTCACCATTTTGCCCTATTGCTAATAGTCACATTCTGACTATCAGTGTAAGTCCTGCATGCTAAGCAACGAATTTGTAATTGCATTTTGTGCAAAAATAAATATTTGTACTTTACAGTTTTAATTTTGAAAACATGTTCCTTATCTTAGGGTTGTATTCCCGCTGTCAAATCATACCGAGATTGTTAGATGGCGCTTTGTTCGTTTACTCTTTAAAGAAGTGTAGATCAGCAGTTCTCAGCCTTTTGACTAATTTGACCATCTAAACAAAAATTGAGAAAATTTAGTAACCACCACTACATTTTACAATGATTGTTTTTCATTTTCTCAGAAATATTAAATATATATATATATATATTGCCGTTTTCGCAACCTGTTGGCTATTTGTATTAAATGTGCACACATAAAAAATATTATATTAAAAATTCGTTACCATTTTAATTATCAAAATTTAAGTTATAATATTTAATTCTAAAATTTATTGTGAAATTTATGCCTGTTTAACAGACATCAATTTCTTTATGTCTGGTCGTATTTCACTTAACTTTAACCGTAGATTAGGATCCACTTCTAATTTTGTTCTGTATTTTTTTAAATGTAACACGAAAGTAAATCCTTATTCACACAAATAGGTGGCAAAAAAGGTAATAAAATTTTAATAGCTTTATTTGAAATTCCTTTAATTTTTTTTTTCAGTTCAGCCGAAAGTTAACAAGCATGTTATTTTTGAAATCTTCAGTTAGATTTTAGTCACAGAAAATTTCTATCAATTGTTCATTTCCTTCACGAGATTGTTGAATTTAATCGGTAAAAATATTTTTTAATTACTTTGTTTCTTTGCGTACCACCTATTTTTCTCTTGCGTACTACCGGTTGAGAATACCTGGTGTAGATCTTTCCAAAACAGAGTCTTAGTAGCAGAATTTGACTTTATTCTTTTTCGTGGGTACTTCAAAAATCGTCAAAAAAATAGGGTTTCAGAAGTGCCATCTAAAGAATCAAGTAAATAACTGAATGCTACGATGATGATTGTATGTGAGTATGATGGTCGCACACTGACCATCATTGTCGATTTATCTTTAGCTTGGGCCTTACCAAAACGATCTGCGATTTAAACCTTATTATCTTGTACTTCGTAGTGAGATTCTTCTTCTCAACTAATGAAGACTATTCCCACCTGAACTAATTACTAGCTTTCGAGTCATTATAAATTGACCATGAATTTTGGACCATTCAGTTATAATTTTTCCTTCGATATTGGGATCTACGTCGCCTGATTGGGCTCACGTAATTATAATTATTAAATTACAGACACGTAGTTATAATGTGTACGTATGTTTAAGTATGACGTAAAAGCAAAAAATCAAATTTTAATGAGCTTGTCTGCCGCTTTTATTTCATTTAGAGCTAACATGCAGATTTTCCTTATACTTTCAATCCTTCCAGTTTAACTTCTTCATTTTCATTATACAGGGTGTATCCGTACAGCGGTGGCGAACTTTCAGGAAAGATAAAGAGTACACCTATGCAAGGTCGGAAACGCTTTCCTGGCGCTGTAGTGACGACACAAAACGCAAAAAAGGAACACACAAGCAGTGAGACAAAACGCCCCCCCCCCCCCCCCCCCCCCCCCCCCCCCCCCCCCCCCCCCCCCCCCCCACCCCCCCCCCCCCCCCCCCCCCCCCCCCCCCCCCCCCCCCCCTGTTTGTTATGTTTAGTACAGTAGAAACCTACAAATAAGAACAAAAACAGACAACTATCATCACTAAAGAAGGTGTTCGAAATTACGACCCCGGACCGTGATGCAGGCCTCACTTTTCTGACGCATGGAAGATCTGCATCACGAATAGAAAATGCATGACGCACGGTTCCTGCACGGTCCGGGTCGTAATTCCGAATACTTTCTTTAATAACGTCATTGTGTATTTTTTGTTCTTATTTGTAGACTTTTGCTGTACTAAAGATAATAAAACACGTTTTGTCTCGCTGTTTGTGTCCTTCCTTTTTTTCCGACCATGGGTTGCTATGTGATTTCCCTTCGTCTAGGTTACTCTATCTCACCTGAAAGTTTGTCAGCGCTGTACTGATACATCCAAGACTACCCCACCCACAAATGTACATCAAATTTCAATGTAGCATAATGTCGCCCCTGTATGGCAATGTTTAATCTAATTGAAGTATCAATAAACTCCCGGTGGCGTAATGGCAAACCGTACATTGAGTTGATCAATGTTAACGAATTTCGCTTACTGCGCATGCCCAGTGTCGTACCGTTGGCGTAGGAGCAAATACTGGCGACAAAGGGGATAAGCAACCCTACACAAGCTTGTTCGCCATGTAGATCTTATGGACTGTTTACGATTGCAATTCTATGGAAATTTGTTTCTGGTTTATGCTATTTGCGTCTGTTTCAATTTCATTTTGATTTATTTTGTTCACATGAACATTATATTTAATATCAGTTATTTATAATTATTTTCTTTGACTTTAATTCAGTAATTTAAACTGGATTTATTCCTTAATTTGTTAAAGTATATACGTGTGGAACGTACGGTTAAATAATCAATTGCTTTTATTCCTCAGAAGTATAATCAATAAACGTTCAATTATTATATCTTGTAATGATACCTGTTTTGTAATCATTCTTAAATAAAAATTTGCGTCGTTCACAATCAATGTTTCCACTTCAACTAATGAAGCAACTTACAACGCAACAAGTTTTAAAACCCCGAACTGTTTACGTCCTAATAATAGAATATCAACCATACACCATACTTATCTTCTTTTAAAATTAAGCTAAAATTGTAATTGCGCCAAATTCTGCTCTGGACATGCGCAGTATGCGAAATTCGTTTAACATTGGTCAACTGAATGTGCGGTTTGCCATTACGCCTCTCGGTGCGGCCGTGTGCGGCTCCAGAGAGTTGTTGCATCTGGATAGTGGAGGGCGTGGGACATATGCCTGCTTACCCCTGTTAAACAGCAGGCGTCCCCGTCCTCCGTCACCTGTACTGATACATCCTGTATGAGCTTATACAGTTCCAACCTTAAAGTTACAGGTAAGTGTGTGGGAATTTGAGAACTGGTAAACGAATAATCCCTTTAATTCAGGAAACAGACACGTAAACTCAAGAAGGGTTAATTACCCTTTACTGCTCAAAATAAGGATTAACAAATGGCCCTTTCTGAGGACATACAGAAAAGCCTCCACTAGCGCTTGAATTCAAGAGTACTAAGAAAATCAAACTTAATTAATGCTTAGCTAAAAAGATACAGCCGAAGCTATCAAAATTCTACAGGATTATATATATACTCCCCTTTTAAAGGGCGACTGGGGTTTCTAGGGGACCCAATCGCCAAATCCTGGGTGTGGAGAATCATCATCCACAACCCTTTTAGTTCGGGCGCCACTGTAGAGACATTAGGTTAATTGGAAGCAGAAAAGATGAAAAAATATGCAACCTCTTTCTCCGGGAATCGAACCACGGACCTCTGGAATACCGTCTCAGCGTGCTACCGTTACACCACGAAAGCACGCTAGGGAAGTGGGAGAAATACCTTATAAGGTAAATTGGAAAAGCCAGAGAGATGAAAAATTAGCAAAGCCTACGCCAGGAATCGAACCGCGGACCTCTCAAATACCGGCTCAGTGTGCTGACTACTACACCACGAAGGCACGCTAGGAAGGCAGGAGAAATACCTTACAACCGCAAAGCGATCTATGGTGATTGGCTGTTGTGAAAATTCGTTGAAGAATTATTCCAAACAGTTGTTCTTCCAAAACAAACCGACGTGTGATAGCAGCCTAACGAAGTCAGTGGAACTTCGGCTTAAGTACCGCTCTTCCTTCATTTGCGTTTAACCGAGATTCTAAAAAAAAAAAAAAAAAAAAAAAAAAAAACCCTTACTCTGGCAGGAAATTTGTAAGTTGAAATTAGAAGGGACAGGAATGTAGCTTTAACTAAAGTTTCTTTAGTTAGAAATGTTATCAGCATTCGATTGAGTAGAAATATATGCTGTGTTTAGCTCAAAAATAAAAGAAAGAAATGTGATTTCAGCAGGCATGAAGAAATAATCTTGTATTTATTATCCTGTTTCGTTTCAACATAGGAAGACGAAGACAAACGGAGCTACCGTCAAGAGAAAGAAAAACAAGCAGCTCGAGACATGTGGTGTCCCACTTCGATATTTCCCGAAATGTGGAAAGAACCAGGTGAGATAATTTCTAACTATTAATAAGACATATTTGGCCGAACAATCGAGTGCATTGACACGCTTTTAAAACAATCTTGAGGCTGCTTAACTAATGCTAATATTAATATAGAAGTCAAACAACAAAATTCAGCGTTATATTTTATAACTATTCTCCCATCAATAAAATTCTGAGTTCCATACTCAAGGACCCCATTCCGGATATGAATTCCTGGGGTATTTACAGGATTCCTTGCCAGTGTGGTTTAATTTCATTGCCCAAACTAAGAGGTCCTTAAAATTTCGCGTTAAGGAACATGAGGCATATGTTAGAAAAAAGGAAACACACAAGTCTTCTGTTGCCCAACATTGTTGGTCCGAAAATCACACTGTCAATTTTTCTGCTGCCAAAATTCTTCAAAAAACATCTTTCATTTGTGAACTGGATTTTCTAGAGGCATTTCACATTAAAAAAAATCTTTCTGTTCTAGTTAACGATCCTAATTCCAATCCATCTTTGCCTTTAGCCTTTCAAGAAATTATGTTTTAGTTCTGATTTCATCAACAGATGGCGCGAATAGTTTGTCTCCTGTCCAGGCTTTCTTGTCTTATCATTATATCTTATCTCGTTCATATGCACTTTTGCAACTGAGGATGATGGTTCGGTAAAACCATCGAAACTAGTCCTGTGAAAATTAGAAAATATAACGCTGATTTTAGTTGTTTGACTTCTAAATTAATATTTGTTCGGCGTGTTAGTGTATCTTAATTAATGTTAATATGCAAAGAGTGCTTTTTTAAATGTTGGATTTGATAGCCTTTTTTTTTTTCTGGCCTTAAAATTATCTAACGTGATTTCATTCCATGATAGAAGGGCGTTTCTTGGATATTGGTTCCTATTTATTTTCCGTTGCTTTAAAGAATCCGTAAGTCGTGGTGGGTTTGCTGTCAGAAAGAGCTCCTTTCCAGATCACAATAGTCCATAAGCGAAACGACGCAGAATTTGTGGTAGCAGGAACACGTTGAAAAGATATACACTCAAACCTGTGTTTGTGCGATTTTTTTAGGTGCCGTATATGAAAATTTCAATCAAATTAGAACAACACAATTGACGAACGTATCAATAAAAAAATTTTTAAAAAGGTAAAAAATCTGGAAAGTTTCAGATTTTAAATTACTTCCGAAGGGGCCTTTTTTAACATTTTGTATGTTAACTTTATTTATTAAGTCTAATAATTAATATATCTAATTCTTCGCACTTAAACCATAAAATTCAGTTCAAGAGCAATATTGCAACATAATTTTAAATTGAGCCTATTTTTAGATAAAATGTTTATCCTGTACAACGTTGCCATCGTTCCCTTTGAAATCCTTGTGTTTGTTAATCAAAAATTCGTTGAAGTACACTGCTGGCGACCCAAATTGCAGCACCAAGAAAGACAAGAGATATCACAACAAAAATTTATTTAGTAGATAACATATTGACCAAGTTTCAAAGGATTACTTTTATAGACTTCTGTGACGTGTGGTTCCTTCCAGAATCAGTAGCCAGAGTAGCCACCCCATTGTTGGAGATCACCGCTGCCACACGTCTCGGCATTGATTCAGAGATTGGATGTGTTCTTGGGATACAGCAGACCAAGAACAGGTGACAGGTGGCGGAGGACGGGGACGCCTGGCGTCTAACAGAGGTAAATAGGCATATGTCCCACGCCCTCCCCTATCCAGATGCAACAACGCCCTGGGGTCCCATAAGGGCGCACCGGGAGTTTATTGATACTTCACAAAAAGTGTATATGGCCGTACAGGGCTATTTCTTTTCAGAGTGACATTGGTTTACATGTTGGTTGGTTTACATTAGTTACATTGTTGATATGACATAAACATAAAACTTACATTATATACGATATTTGACACATAACATTACCCTAAACTTGAGCATAAAACTTGCTACTTTACATAATACATGAATTACTACTTAATCATAAATTACTACTGCTTGCACCTGAATTACTGCTTACACATAAATTACTGCTTACACAAGAATTACTGCTTGCACATGAAATACTGCTTACATTAATATGATGCTCAATTACATATGCATGCTACATTACATGTTAATTTGATACATAATTTCACATTATTATTATACTAAAACTGCTTACACATTAATATGATACACAATTGCATAATACATTGTACATATTGCAACATTCAGATCGCAGTTCACTCATATTATTGGGTTATTCAGTGCGGAGTATGAAACAAAATGCTGTTTCAGTTAAAGAATATACTACATATTTGCAATGCACCGTTGCGTTACACACATATACTGTTGCACTATACATGATTGCTACTTTACACATATGTTACTGCCTGCTGATGACACATAGATTACTTACTTATATAAGTTACTGCTTACACTTAAAATTCTGGTTACACATTAATATGATACATTATTACATATAGCATTGTACATATGGCAACATTCGGATCGCAGTTTACACATATTTAGTTATTCAGTGCGGAGTATGAAACAGCATGCTGTTTCAGTCAAGGATTATATTACATAGTTGCGTTATACCGTTGCATTACCTACATATTCTGTTGCATTGTATATAAATTACTACGTACTCATGAATTGCTGCCTACTGATGATACAAAAGTTCCTGCTTACACATAAGTTCCTGTTTACACATAAGTTCCTGCTTACACATAAGTTACTGCTTACACACTAGTATGATACACAAGTACTCATAAATTACTCCTTACACATAAGTTACTGCTTGCATATGAAATACTGCTTGCACATTAGTATGATACATAGATACTCATTAATTACTGCTTACACATAAGTTACTGCTTGCACCTAAGTTACTGCTCACATAAATTCCTGCTTACACATGATTTGCTGCTTGCACAGAAGATACTACTTACATATTAATATGATACATAATTACATATACACATCACGCATTAATATACTTACATATACATATAAATATACGCAATACATTACACATTATTACCGTTTACATATAAATTACTGCTTACACTTGAATTTCTGCTTGCACATAGAATGCTACTTACACTTTAAATGATACATAATTACATATACTCATTACATTACACATTAATATGATACATGATAACACATTAATATAATACAAATACTGCTTACACATTAATATGATACATTACTGCTTACGCATAAGTTACTGCTTGCACTTTGTTACTGCTTACGCATAAATTACATGTATAAGATTACATACATATTCAGTTGCACTGTACATAAATTACTACGTACACAAGAATTGCTGCCCTCTGATGATACATAAGTTCCTGCTTACACATAAGTTACTGTTTACATATGAAATACTGCTTACACATTAGTATGACACATAAATACTCATAAATTACTGCTTACACATTAGTGTGATACATAAATACTCATTAATTACTGCTTACACATTAGTATGATACATAAATACTCATTAATTACTGCTTGCATGTAAGTTACTGCTTGCATCTAAGTTACTGTTCATATTCCTGCTTACACATGATTTGCTGCTTGTACAGACAATACTGCTTACATATTGTTGCGTGCGTACGGGTTCGTTATGAAATGAATGCACAAGACCGATGAAAAATGAACAAAAATTTTTATTATCACAACAAAAATGCTTAAATTTTCTCAAATTATCATGCAGTATTACAATATCTCACAGTAGTATCTTTTAACTACTCAATACAATAGAACGTATTCAAAACAGCTAAAGAACGCTAATCGCGAATTCGCTACAATCAACAACAGCAGTTTTCTAAACAACAACAAACTAAGCAACTACTACAAACTGAGATGTTTTCCTCCTTTTATAAGATTTTAAAATCACGCGCTAGAATTTTCCAGTACTTTCTCGAAATCAAAAGAAGAGATATTTATTTATTTAATGCACGCGCTCTTGTATTTTCAATTACTCTTTTAATATTCGTCACGCGCTGCACTGCGCGAGAAATAAAACCATAATTATAATTGCTAACATTAGCTTTTTAAATACCAAATTCGTAACAATATTAATATAATACATAATTACATATACACATTACCTTACACATTAATATACTTTACATATACACATAAATATATGCATTACATTACACATTATTACTCATAAATTACTGCTTACACTTGGTTACTGCTTGCACATAAAATACTACTTATACATCAATATGATACATACATACCATACATACATTACATACATACACATTACATACATTATATACATACATTTACATTACACATTAATATGATACATAATTAAGCACACACATTTGAAATACATGACAAATAAATATACATAGAGAAAAACACAGTTCAACACAAAATATACAAAACATAACAGTACAATGATACAAAGTACACACAATACGACATTAAACAGCATAAAACATATATAAACATTACGTTAAACACACACATTGCATTAAACACATAAAACATATAAGGTGCACAGTTATAGTGGCAGTTCAGTAGTATAGTTTCAGGGAAAGTACTTTACAGTGGCAGTACTAGGCACATTGCGCATTGCGCAGAATGTACGCAATACCCACAAGTGAAACACTAGCGGTATACAGCATGCAGTATGTGTTGTTGCACAGTTTGTTAAGGCAGAATGCAGTCACTGAGACCATTATGAATAGCACTGTTTTATAATGGGAGGCAAAGGTCTTGGCCGTAGGCCTTAATGGTGTTAACGATTTTGCACACTGTGTTGATTGCCGCTTTATTTTTAAGGATAAACTTGTGGAAGGCAGGTATGTTCGTGGGTTCCGGGAAATGGTGCTGTTCTGTGAGTGGGCACCGGAAGATATAGTGATCGGGTGTCCCCTCTTCCCCGCATACACAGCGATCCGTATTAGAAATAGTGCGTCTGTTGAAGTAGTCCGGGAAGGGACCGTGCCCAGTTACAAAGTTAGTAAGTGGAGCGTTTGCTATGAGTCTCTCCGTTGTCACCATCGGTAGAAAGCCATACACTCTTCTTCCTGTGTTTCCATGTTCCCATACTCTTTGCCACCACTGGACTGCTGCGCCTTTCAGCAGTCTTTTAAGATGGGAAGGTGGCGCCGGAACAGCGATGGGACGTGCGTTGATGTTTGAGGCTGCCTCTTTGGCGAGCACGTCCGCTGCCTCATTACCTGCATTGCCTTCGTGAGCTTTCACCCACGTCATGTCCACGTGTACCTGTGGGTTATCTTTTAAGAGTTTTTGAAGGCGGATGATCAACGGGGAAACATGGTTGTGTTTGCTTAGGGCCAGCAAGGCAGACATACTATCCGTATAGAGATAAGCTTTTGAGATTTTTCGGCTTATTAGATATTCAACAGCAGCTGTAATTGCTATCACTTCTGCCTGAAAGACGCTATTGCTGTCACCTAGGTGGCCTTTCCAATGATGTAATTCTTGGCTTTGCCAACAGTGCAGGAAAGCACTGCCAACGCCTTCAGCATGTTTAGAACCATCAGTGTAAAGTGTATGGTTGCTGATGTGCTGTATTTCCTTGTTGGGCTGTTGCATGATGTGGGTGTGGACCCCTAGTCCTTTATGCGCTGGATGTGTGTGCAGCGGTGTCTTGGGGTGCTCATAAAGTGCTGGACTGTAGAGAGTACCTGCGAAGGAGGCGTCTTTCCTCAAGTGAAGAACTCTTGTATATGTCGCCTCTAGCTCGGCCTGGATGTGTAGAGCAGTGGTTCTTAACCGGGGGTGCCCTAGGGGTGAGGGAGAACCCCTACCTAACCATAAAAATTATTAAATATCATTTATTAAATTTCTTATAATAAAATATTTGAAATCTGCATAGTGTCCCAAAATTGAAGCTCATAAAAATTGGTAGCACCTAGCTCACTTATCGGCAAAAACACAGGAAAGAGCCGATGCCGATGGGCGTATACACTACGCTACGAAAAGGCATCAAACGCCACAAACAACGAACGCGAACAGGCAGCTAGGTGACGGAGAAAAGAAAAAAAAAAAACTTTGTGGGAATACAAGCGGAGAACGTTATCCCAGCTTGCGCATGCGCTGAGTCAATATGTGGAATCTGCATCTACTGTGTTAGGTTGAGTCAAGTTGAGTCAACTATTGTGTCTGCGACATGTGTATTGTGTATTCTGACTTGTCCAGAAACCTCTTGAGACTAATACATTCTTAATTGCCCGTTCAAGCCGAATAGGATTCAGTGATATTACAAACGTAAGAACATTATATATATTATATTACATTATTTCTAAATAATTAAATCGATTATAGTGAACCCCACTATGTCAAAAAAAAAAAAAAAAAAAAAAAAAAAAAAAAACGACAATGGAACGATAAGTATGCCGGTTATGGATTTACCTGCACAACCGAAAAAGATGGCACGCAACGACCGCAATGCATCTTGTGTTCCAAGATATTTTCAAACAGCAATCTCAAACCATCAAAGATAATAGAGCATTTCAACAATCTGCATGGTGGCGAAAAAGCGCATAGCATGAACAGCTTGAAGTCAAAGAAGGCTCGGTTTGATACCAGTGGAACTATCCTAAAATTGTGCGGACCAGCAATTCAAAAACCTTTATTAGAAGCGTCATATCAAGTGGCATATTTTGTGTGCAAAAAAAAAAAAAAAAAAAAAAAACCTCACACGATCGCTGAAGAGTTGATTAAACCTTCTGCTTTAATTATTGCTAAAACAGTTTTAGATTCGGAAGCACATAAAAAAATCCAACAGATTCCATTATCGAATGATATTATACGATCGCGAATACAAGATCTCAGTGAAGATATTTTAATGCAAGTAATTGAAGACATAAAAATCAGTCCACTAAAATAAGCATGCAACTGGATGAGTCAACTGATGTTGATAATTGTAGCCAACTTTTGGTATTTGTCAGGTATGTGAAGGAAAAAGAGGTGATAGAAGAATTTCTATTTTGTGAGCCACTGGAGGTGAATACGAGAGGAATTGATGTTTTCAATCGCATCAAAGATTTTTTTACTAAATATCAATTACCAATGAATGTGATTGGCTCAATATGCACTGATGGAGCCCCAGCAATGTTAGGCAAAAATTCAGGATTTTTTTCACACATGTACATGAAAAGAGAATTACCGGAAGTTATAATAACGCATTGCATGTTGCATCGTCATGCACTTGCGTCGAAAGCATTGCCAGAAAGTTTAAAACAACATCTAACTACAGCAGTAAATGTAGTAAAATACATCCGAGGGCGAGCGCTTAATCATCGCATTTTTCGTGCATTTTGCGAAGAAATCGGTGCTGATCATACCGTGCTCCTATATCACACCGAAATACGATGGTTATCTAAGGGTCGCATGCTTAACAGAGTTTTTGAATTGCGTGAGGAAATTATTCAATTACTGACTAGTCAAAACTGTTATTTAGTAAAGATTTTGAGAGTAATGATGCAATGCTGAGGCTGGCCTACTTAGCAGACATATTTAGCCATTTAAATGAATTGAATCTATCAATGCAAGGATTTGGTATAAATATAATAATATCTAGTGAAAAATTATCTTCATTTATCGCAAAATTAGAAATTTGGATACGTCGAGTAGAAAAGGGGAATTTTGCAAACTTTCCCTTGCTTGATTCTGTTATTGCGAAAAATGAAAAGAATACAATTATACCCGACATTGTAATACATTTGAGACGATTGAGCGAATCATTCAATGGATATTTTTCTACCGGAAATATTACCAAAACTCAGAGATGGATACTGGATCCATTTCTATTTGACTTAAATTTGATGGATGATAGTGATCTGAAAAAAGATCAACTTATTGAAATGCGAGCAAGTGGACATGTTCAAATGGAATTCGAACAATTAGAATTGCAACAATTCTGGTGTTCACAGTTACAACGTTATCCAGAGTTGGCGAACGGAGCACTGCAGTTACTCTTACCCTTTGCTACCACCTACTTGTGCGAAATGGGATTTTCATCGCTTTTGCATATAAAAACTAAAGCGAGAAATCGCTTAAATGCAAGTGATGACTTACGCGTATGTCTTTCAAAAAAGGAACCTCGCTTCGCCAGTATAATAATGAACAAACAACAACAGACTAGTCATTAATAAAAATAATATTGTTTTGTATTTATATAAAATGTACAATGTTTTTCAATAAACAATAAGTTTCGCAAAAAATGTATTTTTCTAGACTAAAAAATTAAAAAACACATTTTTCAATGGGGCGGGGAGATATATTTTCAGATTCAATGGGTGCGACTCGTAGAGGTAAGAACACGGGTAGAGGAACATACCGCAAGGTAAGGGGAGCTGGCTGTGGCAGTATGCCTGCAGATGCTTGAAAAAGGGCGTTGGAGTGATGTTAATGCTTATCTCGTTGTCATCGGTTGAGCCCAGATTGCAGCTGCGTACAGCGCAGTCTTTCCCCCCACAGTGCTATAAAGCACTTTTTGAATGTGGGAGATTTAGTCCCCAATTCCTTCCTTGAAATTTCCGCGTCATTCTGGCTATAGCGGAGGTTTTTGCTCTCTGTAGCTGCAAATGTGGCACCCATGTTAGGCCACAGTCCCAGACCACTCCTAGATACTTCTGTGTATCCGTGATTTTAATGTTGCGGCCAAGTAATCGGTCTCGGGATGAGTAGTGCAGAAGACTTGGTGATAGAAATCTTCAGCTTATGGTCTTCGCATAGGCTTGCGAACTTGGCGCACGCCTCGCTGCCATTGGCTTCAATTTCGTCTCGTGTGCGACCCTTCTGTTTCCATCTTTATGTTGCATCATTTAATTCCATATTTCATATATAGCTTTCATAACATTTGGAAACTACTGTGAACCAAAAATTCTAAGAACTTCATATTAAACTTTTATTTTATTTGGAGTTGAGTTTATAAAATGTATTTTATTAAAAAAATCTGTAATGTTTTCGAGCATAAAATTTTTCAATATTAAAATATTCATCCGATTTTGGGTTCAGTTAGAAAATAGTGCCCATATAAAGAATTACATCCAATTTCAAGTATGTACCATTAGCCATTTTAAAAATATGATGCGCGCAAGTTGGAAATATGACGAAATCCATTTCTTGCAACAGTCACATATTCGAAGATCATAAGGGGTTTACGGTGTATGGAGCCCTCTTAAGTGCGAAGGACATGCTATTTAATAAATAGAGGTAACGCTCAAAGCGTTAAAAAAAAGTCCCTTTGGGCGTAATGTAAAAACTGAAAGCTTTCAGATTTTAATTTTTTCTAATATTTATAACTTTTTTCTAATATTTCGTACAAATTTAAGTTTTAGGAAGTTTAAACCAATTTTTATTTCTTCGCAGAATGCACGTGCGGCTACAATCGCCCGCCTTTTATTCTTCCGAAGTATGCGGAGAGGCTCGTTTTCAGCATTCCAGAAATAACAGTATGGTGTGAAATAACCGGAGTGATGAAAAATGTTCCAGTCATCTATGCTAAGGGTGCCTTCGAAGCCGAATTCAAGAACTGGTCGACACAGGTATGAATAATTTTTGTAAGTTGCTTCAGAGAATAGAGTAACTGTAGATTTAGAAGACTAATTCCGAATATTCGCTTTACATAGACCCCTCCTAACCTTTTGAAGGCCAAGGCCGTAACTTACCTGTTTGCTTAAAATACCAGAATGCCTCAAATTTTATTCCAGATTCACAACAGTTTCTCCTTTCCCTGTTCATTCACGAACAAAGAGTTGTGAAAGTTTCAAATGATATCATTTCTAGTTCCCAGCAAAGAATCATCCATTACCCACTGAATGAACACTAAGGAATCACAAAAGACTTCCTTAACGACAACATTGTCTACAATACATATAAAAATGAAATAACACCTTTGTAGAAAGTGTACACAGCGGAGGGGGATAGTTCTATATCTCCTAATATACTGGGCCAATTGACGATAGTCAACTTGCGTTTTTCATGTCTCGAAAGCGGGACTTAGGATATATATTAGATTTGTATATAGCATTGTTCTAACATAGGTATTTTGACACAAAATCGGAGTTTTTCGGAAACCACATGCCATTTTTTTCCCATATTTCGATTGTAGAACTCAAATTATGTCTAAATATTAAATTTTGTAAGGTTTGGTGCGAAATTTACGGAAAAATTCAAAAATTTATCTTGTGGTATGTTTTTCAGTTTCAGCCAAGATTAAATACTTCATTTGGCGGACTTCTTAATTTACAGAATTCCTTTTCTTTCTTGTCCTTGAGCGGAAAAGAGGCATCTTTGATACTGTAAAATAATTTTAACAATGTGCTTAAACCGCATTTTCATTATTATCGCTTATAATTAATACACCAAGTTTCAAAACGCGCCAAAATGTAAATCCACGTATATCTTATATTAGGGAAATTTTGAATAAAAAAAAAAAACCTAATTTTTTGCAGGTATGTTTAGAAATACATCTACTTTAAGATTATGGAAGAAATTTTATAGGTTATAATTCAAAATTTGTTCGAAAAATTTGTAAAAAATTATTTTAAAAATATAAATTTTATAAATAAATCATAAAAAAATGGGCGAATTTTACTTGGAATGAATCTAAATTCCGAAATGTGAAAGGAAGAATTAAATAAATTCAATAAAAAAAGATATGTTAATAAATATATATCCATTTCACTGAACAGGGAGGAGCTAATTTTTTAAAAACTACTCGTGCGATTTTTGTAACATGTGGCAGTTTTGCATAATTTGAGTCGTAGAATCGAAATATGGAAAAAAAAAAAAAAAACATATCATTGCAGAAAAAGTCCGATTTTGTGTCAAAATACCTATGGTAGAATAATGCTATATATAATTGTAATATATATCCTTGTTTAGTATTTTTATTTATTTATTTATTTTTTGGTTGCGAAACGAATTCTAGTGTGTCTTTACAATAGATGTACAACAATAGATGGCACTATTGCCTCATGATTCAATTGTGGTTGCTATGGTAACGAACTTTCAAATTATGTGATTTATGGGTCCTCATCTTTTTTGTTTTTCAGTGCTACAGCGCTTTGAGTGATGTGTGCTGTTGAAAATGAGCCCTGTTGCCACTTGTAAAAAAAGAGGGCGATAATTTTGTGCAGTTTTTAAATTGAATGTTTCTCTCGGATACTGGATGTTTGTCGAAAGAAGGCAACGCGGGAAGTTGGTTAATTTATTTATTAGGATAAATAATATTTGTATTAAGGGATATTGCTTATTTCATCGTAATTTTGTTATATGTAATACATTTTTTTTTAAATTTGTGGGTCTTTTTTTTATTTATTTATTATTATTATTATTTTGGTTTTTTGATATTCTGAAGAGTAAAATTCTGCGCAATATTTTAATTTAACGTTTGGTGTTCCCTTCAGGCATTTTTTGGTACATTTAAAAGCCAGATGAAGGCTGGCAGCGTAGCTGTTAGTATTTAATAAAAGTAGCCTACCTTTAGTTCTGATAAATAGGAATCAATAAGTAACAATTGACTTTAATATGTGAAAAATCTGCATCAACATCAAATGTCATTCATTCCAAGTTTTAAAAAGTGTATTTGAACTTGAGCGGATGAATAAAAAGTATATTTGTAACGATTGAAAATTTGAACAAGATATAGGAAGATTGTGAGCTAATAGTAGGAACTTAATATTTGTTAAAAACTGAGGATAAACCTTACATCCCTTTGTCATCTTTTGCTCCGGGCCCCCAACTCTCTAGTTATCAAGAGTATAGGAAATTAGACGAAAGGAAAAGGTTTGATCGTTATATCCAGAGGTTCGTTATACTGGTATTAGACTGTATTTAGTTCATGCAAATCTCACAGTATAACATATGTAAAGGATAACGGGAAATTAATCAAAGATCTTTATTGCAGATGAACGCGAACGGAGAAATTCGAATGGAAGTGATGTATTACAATGAGAAAGTGTCTACTTGGGAACCTTTCATCGAACACGTAATGGTGAGGGAAGGTGAATATAGACCCCTAGAAGTGATGTTCAAAGTAAGTATCTTTTTTCCATGCGCGATGCGTGAGTAAATGAAATAAAAAATGTGTATTTTTGGAGGTGCGTGTGTTTTGAAATAGGTCTATAAGAGCAAGCAGTTTTCTCAAAAATAAATATAACAGTTTGACATAGTTTGAATAAAAAATGCCTTAAAATCACGAGTACGTCTATTTAGAAATATTAAGTATTTTTAGGAAATGACGCTCGCTACCTGTACTCATTAAAATGGACTCATTATTGTTACGAAATATCCAGCCGCGGTAAGATAACTTTCCTGCAAAGCGGGTTTATGGTTGCCAGAAAACGGCAGGTGAAGGTAGGGTTGCCGTATATAGCGTGAAATTGCTCATTTGGCGATATGTTGTAGACTGATGGAGAACCTTCTGGAACGAATTCTTACCGGTTTGGCCCAGAATGTTCTCGAGCGCAACCCAAAAGCCATATAAACCCTGCTGGTTAACAGTCAGTCAGTTAGTGTCTAGCAGTCTATTGAGTCGATCCCTAGTCTATTGAGTGTCTCACAGTCTGTCGAGTTGATCGTCAGGCTAGTGTTGAGGTGTCTCGTCACTGTATCGCAAGTTAGTGTCTCCTCGAGTTTTATTTTGAGTGTGTTCAGCCCCGAGAACGACGGAACTGAGTCGGGAGCTGTACTCTGGTGCTTTGCCGTGAAGCAGTCTTCATCGTCATAGCCTGAAGGCTGTGACTGCTGATTGTTTCAGCATGCTTGATGTAGTTTTCGACTGCGTCAAGCATTAATTTAGAAATTTTAATGTAAACGCGATTTAGAAGCTGAACTTGAATAATACCGGCTAATAAATTGTGCTTTCATTCTTCATCAAGTGTCGTCGTTAATCACTCCAAATCCACGGACCATTACAAAAAGAAATAAATAAATAAATCAAAAAAATCTGAAAGCTTTCAGATTTTGCATTGCGCCCACAGGGGCGTTTATTTAACGTCTTGTGTGTTACCTTTATTTATTAAATATATTCTTCGCACTTAAACCATAAAATTCAGTTCAACAGCAATATCGCAAAATAGTTTTAAAATGAGCATATCTTTACAATTTCCGTTACACAGTCTCGCGCGCTGGAGATAATATTTTTCATCGTGCAGTGTTGCGATTGTTCACTTTGAAATCTTTGTTAATGAAAAATTCGTTAAAGTGTTACAAAATATGAAATAGATTATAACGTTGCGCGCCTCTAACTTGCACGCAACCAAGAGGTGACTGTGAAAGCTTGTATAAACCACAGAGTCTTATAAAGGGTTTAAGTCCCTTTTTATTCAACGTAATAAATTACAATGGCGTCCTCTTGACGCTTACAGACTGTGCCAACTAGGCAGTCAAATAAAAATAATAACCTGAAAAAAGAAAGTAAAGACAATATTCTAACTACGAGGCTCTCTAAAATAACTAACTCACCGCGTTTTACAAATACCGCAGCTAATTCAGCAGACTTGAAGCTCACTGGAACAATTGCAACTACTTCCCGCCAAGCACATAGGCCGCAACGCGGGGTTCTTCAATTCTCGATTTCTACCTCCGCGCTTGCTAAGTAAGAATAACTCTCTCACCGAACTCGTTTCCTTCTATCCTTGCGCGTTCTACTCAAATTTACATATTCTGGCATTGGCAGTTCCAGGAGAAAGTAAGGCTTGACAGGAAAGATAGTTTAAACTTAAAATAAATGTTAGTTAAAATAAATATAAACCCTACATTTGCCGCTGCCAGAATTTGGAAAACTTGGAAGCAGGTCCTACAAACGACCTGTTGTAAGTTTATCTAATTCTGAACTAACTGGCGAAAGCCTCGTTTACACAAAAAAAATCTTATGTAACAATTATATATTAAAATTCTGTTATTCGTTACAAAGCTTTCTTCTTACAGCAACTTTTCCTGGACTTCATCAATCAATCTTGGTCTTTCCTTCCAGCATCTTTGAGTTTTCGATGCTTGAAACTCCGTCATCCGTTTTTGACAAAATTGATCCCAAGTTAGAGGTGTCATGGATGTCAATCTTCTCCTTATTGATCTCCGAGTGTCGTCCCCGTTGCTCTTTCTTTTGCGTCCTCTACATGCTGGCCTCTTGACGGAGTAATCGTCTGGTTGTTGGCCTTTGCGTTTCTGCCTGGGACGGCTGGTCGTGACGTCCTCCGGTCTGGAGTCCTTCTTGAATTTCTTCTGTTCGTCGTATTTTTGTGCCTCCTGTTGGCGTTTCAGTTTCCGGAACGGCGGCCTTGCTGGCACCTGACTCTGTGGCCGTTGTGCGCGTTCTCCTTGATGTGTAATTTCTCCTGCCATCTTTTGTAGGTGGTGTTTTCGTCTATACCACGGTTTCTTTACCCGGTTCATCTGTATTTTTGTTTTCTTAAACGCCGGAGTTGAAAATCCTTTTTTCTTTTTGATACCGACGTCCGGGTTGTAGAAGTGCTAGGTCTCTCTTCAGTTCTCCGTTTCTTGGGTGGTGGAATAGTTGTTGCAGTCTCTGGCCCTTCTATTTCGTTTAGACTTGAGTCCTGCAAGAAACTTTTAAGGATTTCAAAATCATTTGGATTATAGTATTTTTTCACCTGGTCGGGACTTGCTTTACAGATTTCCCCTCTCTCGTTTTTAAGATATAAGACTACTCCTTTGATTTCCTGAATTACATAGGGGCCTTCAAACTTTGGAGCTAGCTTTGCCATAAAATTGTCTGGGGCACTTGATAAAGAAAATTTCCGTTTCAATACTTTATCCCCAACTTTAAAATCTGCTTCACGGCGTTTCTATCATAATATACTTCTGCCTATTTCTTGCCGTATCCGAGGTTTTTTTTTAAGCGCCTGATCAATTAGCTTTTGCACGTCCTTTTGTTAAATTCCTGCTCTCTTTGTTGCACAAAGAATAATTTATCTAAAGGCGTAATTAACTTTCTGCCTAAAATAATTCTGCTGGAGTTTTTTCCCGTAGTATCATGATGTGCCGTTCTTAAAGCATAAGCTAATTCATTTATGTAGCCATCCAGCTTTGTGATGTGTGCTAACGTAACTGCGAATTATTTTTACAATGTTTTTATTAACTCTTTCTGCTATGTTAGCCTGTGGTCTATACGGAACCATTTTGATATGGCGTATATCAAGTCCATTGCATATGTTTTCAAATATTTGACTAATGAATTGTTTTCCGTTATCGCTAATGACTTTTATCGGTGCACCGTATTTTAAAAGTATCTGTGTAAGAATGCATCTGCGACTGTTTTGGCTGACGCGCGTTTAAGTGGAACAATTTCTATCCATTTTGAAAAATGATCTACTATTACTAAAAGAAAACGATTTTTATTTAACTCGCTCTGGGGGAAGGGACCAAGGAGATCTATGCCTAAAATTTCATTCGGAAATGTAGCGCGAATGCTATTTAAGTACCCGGCCGGGCTGTAATTAATATCATTTATTAACTGACATTGATTGCAGGACCTGACATACGCCGTTACTATTTTGTATAATTGCGGGAAATATACCGCCTCGCGTACCCTTCTTAAAGTCTTTCTGACCCTAGGTGGCCCGCTGTTTTTTTTTCGTGTAAAACTCCTTCAAAATGCTTAATCGAAGCGAGGCTGGGATGACTGGCTTATACTCAAGATTTTCGTTTGTTGTTTTCGTTATAGAATAATAAATTATCTATTATTTCATAGTTTTTGCTCTATTTCTTATCGCATCGATATCTGTATGCTCAACGAGCTTTCGGGGTCTTTCAAATAAGCATAGATATACTTCCAAATTCAGGATCAGCTTTCAGTTCAGTAATAACCGTATCTCTAGAATCTAAAATTTTTGAAGTCAACACAGCGCATTTAAGTTCATTACCTTCATCGTCCAGTTTTTATACGAGAAAGTGCGTCAGCTACATTGTTTTCCTTACCCCGGTTTATATTTTATTGTGATATTATATTCTTGGAGTTTTAAAGCCCATCTTATTAACCTGGGCGTTAGGTTTTTTCCCGAGTAAAGTCTACCAACAGCCGCATGATCCGAAAAGACTGTTACTGGCGATTTGCCGAAATAAAACTCGAAATTTGTGTACAGCCATTAATACGGCTAATGTTTCTCTTTCTGTAGCTGTATAATTCCTTTGTGTTGATTCAATGTTTTACTAAAAAATGCCAGCGGATGGTTATTTTGCATAAGAACCGCACCCACCGCATAGTCTGATGCATCTGCCGCAATTTCCAGGTTTTCGTCCCCCTCAGGGAATTTTAAAACAGGGGCATTAATAAGCGCTTCTTTTAATCTTTCAAAAGCTGTATTAGCTTCCGCTGTCCACGTAAATTTACTCTTTTTTCTTTTGATTACTAAGAGTGGTTCAACAATATTAGCGAAATCTTTTATGAAAGATCGATAGTAAGAAAATAATCCAAGGAAAGACGAAAGTTTTTTGGCGGTGTTGGGCGGTGGGAAATTCTTAATAGCTTTTATTTTTGAATCTTGAGTTTCTATACCCTTTTGCGAAATTTTATAACCGAGATATATAAGTTCTTTAGTTGCGAACTTGCATTTTGAGGCGTTAATTGTAAGACCGGCCTCTTTTAATAATTTAAAAACTTGTTCGAGGTCATTAATGTGTTGTTCCAACGTACTACTCGTTATAATTATATCATCTAGATAAATTAAAGTTGATTTTCCTAGGACAGGCTTTAGAACAATGTCCATAGCTCTCTGGAATGTTGACGGGGCCCCACACAACCCAAAAGGGCATGCGTAAAAATCAATAAGTGCATAAGTGCCCGATTTTGTTATAAACGCGGTTTTATGTATATCTTCGAGTCTTCATAGCTATTTGATAGTAGCCAGACGTTAAGTCCAAAGTAGTACATTATATATTCGTAGATTTGATCTTTCTAATGAATTTCCTCTAATAACCGGCAAAGGGTAAAACTGGGAATTTAGTTAATACTATTTAGTTTTCTGTAATCGATAGCAAACCTCCAAGCCCTTTTATCCGAAGGAGGAAACTCGTTCTTTTTCCTACATAGTACGACTGGACTCGCGTATTCACTATTTATGGGCGTTATTATTTTATTCTTTAACATCTCCTGAATATGTTCTTCGATGATTAAGTCTTTTGTTTATCATAGCGATACGGTTTAGTCCTACAAGGTTTTTCGGCATTTAATTGAATCTTGTGAGTCACGATCTTGACAGTTTCCCGGTTTTCTGAAAACAAATGAGAAAAATTACTCACCACTTGCTGGTATTGCTTTACTTTCCTGGTCATTCAGAATGGCTAAGGTCCAATCAGGTGTCTCCGCAGGTTCCACCACCCTCTGGTCCATCTCCAGCACCACGGAACTATCTTGAAAATTTAATTTGGCCCTCGCGGCCCTTAAAAAGTCCATACCTAAAATAAGAGAGTGTTGGAGGTCTTTCACCACAAAAATTAATACTTTGAGATTTTCCTCTTTTATCTGTAAGTTTAATGATACTTTCCCGATGCAGTGACATGTTTTTCCTTGCGCCGCTATAATTTCCGTATTTCTGGTTTTGAATAGTCGTATCCTATAAAAATTCTTTTTGAAGAACTTTTCACTCATGAAATTTCCTTCTGCCCCTGTATCGATGAGGGCTTCTACTGGTACATCGCCAACCAGGACTTGTATAATTGGTAGCTGTGAGTTTTTTTTTTTACGATGACTGTATTTAGATGTCTATTTGAGGGTTTTTCTAAAACTTCCGGGGTCTGGACCCTCCCTTTCACAGGCCCCTCTAGTCGTTTAAAGCTTTCCTTTCAATCTGTGTCTTCTGGGTACGCGGGTGCTTATTTTCAAATTTTCTTTTTGGGCCTTACCTTCGAGTTTCGATGCGTTAGCTTGATAGTTCTTTCCCCCATATGAGCGATTTCCATTTCTGGTTTCCTCCTTCCTTCTGGTACTTTGAGAGTATGTTTCCCCTCTCGCTCTTTCCGCTATTCTGCGATTTTGAAATTTCACCGCCAATTCGAAAAGTTCCTGCAATGTGGTTGGGTTTCTAATTTCAAAGTAGTCTTGAACAGCGGGTAACAATCTTGGTAATATTATTTCAATAATCTCCGCATCGGGTTTCTTGCCATACAGCATATCCGTTAGCTTGATTTTTTGTAAAATAAAGTCCGTCAATTGTGCTGTATCCCGTTGATAAAAACTATATAGTTCGGCTTCCAGCCGTGCGCGATCTTTCACTATGGGGAAGGCCTTTACTAACGATTTTTTGAAATTTTCAAATGTATACGTCGGGCTTCCAAATTCACCTAGAAGAAATTTGCCTATATTTTTCCACCATAGCGCGGCCTGTCCTCTTAGTGCTGATGTGGCGATAGCAACTTTTTGTCTTTCAGGCACAGGGTAGAGCTGAAAAGTGGTTTTCTAGACCTTCTAAAAATACCGGATACCGAATTTTTTTCCGTCGAAATAGGACGTTTGGCTTGATTGATGCTCTCAAAGTCTGGACCAGGTATCCAAATCCTTCTAACTGAGTTGTCATTTCTTGGTGTTGTCCAGCGGCTTCCATCCAGTTTTCGGCCATTTCAGTTCGATAAGTGTTCGGGCGCCAATATAACGTTGCGCGCCTCTAACTTGCACGCAACCAAGAGGTGACTGTGAAAGCTTGTATAAAACCACAGAGTCTTGTGAAGGGTTTAAGTCCCTTTTTATTCAACGTAATAAATTACAATGCGTTCCTCTTGACGCTTACAGACTGTGCCAACTAGGCAGTCAAAATAAAAATAATAACCTGAAAAAGAAAGTAAAGACAATATTCTAACTACGAGGCTCTCTAAAATAACTAACTCACCGCGTTTTACAAATACCGCAGCTAATTCAGCAGACTTGAAGCTCACTGGAACAATTGCAACTACTTCCCGCCAAGCACATAGGCCGCAACGCGGGGTTCTTCAATTCTCGATTTCTACCTCCGCGCTCGCTAAGTAAGAATAACTCTCTCACCGAACTCGTTTCCTTCTATTTAAATCATACTACTTCCGCTGATAATTTGAATCCTTGCGCGTTCTACTCAAATTTACATATTCTGGCATTGGCAGTTCCAGGGGAAAGTAAGGCTTGACAGGAAAGATAGTTTAAACTTAAAATAAATGTTAGTTAAAATAAATACAAACCCTACAAGATAATAAAACAAATGCAAAATTTTCGCTACTAGATGTCCATATTCGGATGGAGACCTATGTTATTCAAAATTGGATGACTCTAGATACCGTTGTTTTATCCCAATGCAAGAAATATACATTTATACGTATTCTTCATTATTTAATTTCTTTAAATATAACACAGGGTTCTAGTATTTGGCGGCAATAATTAAAAAAGTGAAACGACATTTATAGTGAATCAACGCTAAATGCCAAAATGAAATTAATAGCCCTTCTGGGCAAATTGCCACTTTGGGCTCACAAAATTAAAAAAAAAAAAAAAAAACTTTTAAATCAGAATCACGAAATTAGATCAACATTACGAATCTTATGGCCAAATATAAATGAAGTTATGAAAAAAACAATAATCTGAACTTTCGCATTAAATGTACTAATTCGTAATTTGTCATCAAATGGAACATTTTGTTTACTTTGAATGCAATTTTATTTCATTTTCATTCAAAATCACTATCGTATGGCATTTTTGCAAAATATATTGTAGGTATACGTTAATAAATTACAAAAGCAAAATTCTTTTAAATTTATCTTCTTGTTAGTGTGGCGCCAATTTTTTTAATCCAAAGAACTATTATTGTTTTTGTTTTACGATTTTGCGTTGGTTCACTATAAATGTCTGTTTCACTTTTCAAACTGTTGCCACCAAATGGTAATAGTCTTGCGTTATATTTGAAGAAATTAAAAAGGAAAAATCCGCATAAATGTATGTATGTTTCTCGTATTGTGATAAAACAACGGTACCTAGAGCCATCCAATTTTGAATGATGTAATTCTGCTACGAATATGGGCATGCGAAAGCCCAAATTTGAAATTCCGCATTTGTTTTATTATTGATTTCATATTTTGTAAATCTTTAACGAATTTTTGATTAACAAACTCAAGGATTTCAAAGAATTGGGAACGTTGCACAGAAAAAATATTTTATACCCAGCTCGCGAGACTGTGTATCGGAAATTCTATAGATAGGCTCAATTTAAAATTACGTATTTTGCGATATTGCTCTTGAACTGAATTTCATAGTTTAGGTGCGAAGAACGTGATATTTAATAAATAAAGCTAACAGATAAAATGTTAAAAAAACGCGCCTTTGGACGTAATTTAAAATCTGAAAACTTTCAGATTTTTATTTTTTTTTTTAAAATTATTAAAAGTGTACCGTGAACGAAAAAGAGGTGGAGAATCACTGAATTAAAACTTAACTTAGTTACTGAAGTTTTAAGCTATTTTGCGTTAACTAACCAACTTAAATATAATTATTTAGCCGAAATAAAATATCTTAACCCTTTCAGGCACGCTACCTGTTAAAAGTCAGAATTTTGATTTTAAAAAAATGTAGGCAGTCTAATTAAGCCTAGAGGAGTACACAAGTAAAATTTTGTGAAGATAGCACTTATCGTTTTTATTCTGTGGGTGTGCCCATAGTGGCACACTGATTGAATATAGCTTCGAAAAGTATGCTGAAACGAGCATTGTTGTCAATGAACTGACCGATGAGATGCTGAGAAACAAAGAATACAGACTGTGACTCAGTTGTCCTAGATGATCGGTGAGCCCGGTCTGGGCACACCTAGGGTTCGCCGTTTGATTTTAGGCAAGATTTCAAGGTAAAAATTTAAAATTAATATAGAATAAGGAGATTAGCATACAGCCAAAAAATAACATTGAAATTTTTTTTTCAAACAGTTCCTTTTATACCCTAAAAGAATCTGGAAGATTTTTTTGGAAAAAGAGGGTCTTAAAAAACTAAACATGGCGCTAAAATATATGGACTTGGTTTGTGTTCAGCTGCCATCTACTATAAATAGAGAAAGTTCAGAGTAACCTATAGTAACCCATAAATCCTTTTTCATCCAATTTTTCTGTGCGTACAGAAAGAATTTTTTAGGTATGTCCAGACCGGACACACTGTGCCGCAAAGGGTTAAACCACAAGCGTATTTTCTCTCAAGCATTTCGTTTCTTGTTCTCTTTTCAGATGTTTCGAGACCGTGCTCATCCCATGGTTTGCACCGGGAGCGACGAAGTGGAGTGCAACACACATCCCGTTACCATGACTGACGCACCGTCCGTCTCCTCATACTCTTCGTTATCTTCTTCTGGTAACGAAACTGAAGAAGAGGATGTGATTACCACCACAGTGATCAGGCGGAGGGTACCAGTCCGTACAAAAAGACTCTCCTCCATAGCTAAATCGAGAGGTCAGTCTTCATTCATTTGACTAACATCCATTTCAGTAAACCTGAACGAATTATCAGTTAGTCTATCTGGTACTTTTCCGCTTCCCCGGCGCAAATCTCACCAAGCAGACTTTATTGGCGACAACATACCAGTATACACATAATAAAATGTTAACAAATGTTAGTTTTTAAGAGTTTTTTATTTTGAAGGCATAAACATTTTAATATGGTTTAAAATTTTGTAAAAACCAATAAATACAGACAATAAATTTGTGAAAAGACATTAATTTAAGAATTTACTATGCTTTCATGGTTCAACATCCTGATTCGCCGGTTCGTATCACGTGACCCAATGTGATCTCATCTCGCGTAAACTACGCTACAAAAATCTAATTCTATCAGTAATTATCTACATTAATTTCAAGTTTAGTCTTAATTTGGAATACGAGTTTAAATGCAAGAACTATTTCAATTCGTGCGAACAGCTTACTCAGAAAGTATGTAAAACCGCCGTGTTTTACTTCGCTTAGTGCATTTCCATTAGAATTGATGATTTTTAACTCTTAACTTTGCCTTTTCTATATTTTCGCCTTCCGGTGAGCGGTATGATTGCATCCTAATTGACTTAATTACCGCGAATGGCCTTCGAGCATAAAATTGAATTATCTAGGTAAAACTTCTATGTAATTATATGCCAGTATTGAAAGGAACTATCAATCAGATAAGAAATGGCTGCGACTTGTTTTGAAAATGACGCGTAAAAGGTTAGCTGCGAGGATATTCTGTTTGGCGACATTATCGCCTGTGCCGGGAAAACGGAAAAGTACCGCCTTATATTTAAAGGTACCCTTGGATAATCGGCAAGTTGTTGTTTCATTTATGCTAGCCTGGGCAGTTGAATTTTATGGTAACCCTATTATGACGTCGCTGGTTGCGTGATTTCGGTGAAGTTGACTGATGGGAAAAGATTTGTTTGGATGTCAGTTACGAAGTACGTCGCGTATTGTGTGCTTTCTGCATTGTAAAATGGCTGCAGGTGGTAAAGTGGTTGTTTGGTGGTATAGACCACGAAAGGACTCTGTCCCTGAGTGACTATTGTTTTCGTTTTGCGATTTAGCGCAGAATCACTCTGAATGCCCGTTTCACTTTTCAAATTGTTGCCACCCAATAATATTGCCCTGCATTATATTTGAAAAAAATTAAATAATGAAGAATCCGCATAAATGTATGTAAGTTTCTCGCGTTGGGATAAAACAACGGTACCTAGAGCCACCCAATTTTGAATGACGTAATCATACTGCGAATATGGGCATCTGGAAGCCGATTTATTATCGATTTCATATTTTGTAAAACTTTAACGAATTTTTGATTAACAAACTCAACGATTTCAAAGTGACCCATGGCAAGGATGTATGGGAAAAACATTTTTATCTCCAGCGCGCGAGACTGTGCATCGGAAATTCTATAGATAGGCTCAATTTAGAATTTGTTTTATGATCGATTTCATATTTTGTAAAACTTTAACGAATTTTTTATTATTAAGGATTTCAAAGGGAGCCATGGCAACGTTGTACAGAAAAATAAACATTTTTATCTCCAGCGCGCGAGACTGTGTATCAGAAATTTTAAAGATAGGCTAAATTTAAAATTATTTTGCGATATTGATGTTTAACTGAATTTTATGGTTTAACTGCGAAGAACATGATATTTAATAAGGGTAACACACAAAATGTTAAAAAAACGCCCCTTTGGACGTAATGTAAAATCTGAAACCTCTCAGAATTTCTTTTTTATAATGGTTGAGGACAGAAGAATCTTTGTTGGATATAATTCAACGGAATTATAAGTGTGCTGTTTGTACGAAGGAAATGCGTGTGGTCGAACGTAAAGATCGTCCAGAATGCTTTATCGCAAGAAATGTTCATATGCTTACCATATAAAACGTTCCATTAAAAAATGGAACATGGTTTGAGGAAAGTTTTTGGATGCTGTTAAAGAATTTTGCGTGCCACAGACTGAAGACACGGAAATTTCTAAATCAGGTAAGTGTATATTTCCTTTGTTTAGTTCTTAGAGGTTATAAGATGAATTTCCTTTTGTATGTTATTTCATTGTTTAATTTAAAATGCAGTTTATTGACATTATACATTTTTTTGTTTGGCTGTAGTGTAGAATTGCGTTTTAAGTGAAAATAGATCGATGCGTACAGGGACAAAGTCAAGGGAGTGCCCAATGCCGTGTTTGTGCAATTCTGTGATTTTTTTTTTTTTTTTTTTAAGTGAAAATAGGTCGACGTGTACATGGAATTCATGTTCATTTTTCATCTCTCCTGCTTCCAAAAAAATACCTAATGTTTCTACAGGTTTGCTTGGAAAACAGTAGGGTTTTATCAAGATAATAAGGAAGGAAAGTTCATTTAAAGCATGGGAAACATTAATGTAGTTTCATCCCGCCCTTTTAGCTGGCATTGCAATGGGATCTACTGCTGGTTTGAAAGAATCCCTTTAGGGGATCGTGTTCATTAATTTTCAGATATGAGACTAGGATATAAAAAAAACAGAATTTTCTCTTTGATGGTGTAAAGCTGAGTATGTGGTTCAAGTAGGCGTTTCGAGTTTGATTTGGCGAGATAAGGCTAAGGCTTGTTAGTTCAAGTAGGCGTTCCAGTTCATTTGGCAAGGTAAGGATAAGGCTCATTGGCTCAAGTAGGCGTTTCGAGTTGATTTGGCGAGTAAGGCTAAGGCCCGTCGTTTCAAGTAGGCGTTTCGTGTTGATTTGCCGAGGCTTGTTGATTTGCTACTTGAACCAAGGCTAGGACCCGTTGCTTCAAGTAGGCGTTTAGATTTGATTTTGTGCAAATTTCTAAATAAATGTTGACGGCTAAGGCAGTAAGGCTTCCCCATAGCACAAAACATCCTTTTGAAATAGTCTCCTTCCATTCACTCAGAAAAACATTACAACAGCAGCCTTCCGTGAGGTAAGATATGCCGAGGTTAGTACCCCCATAGCACAGAACATCCTCAGGATGTCCTATTTAAGTCGCAGTATCCGGGGACATACTTATGATGTCCTGAGTATGTTGATTCTCATATGTCCCGAGGATTTAATTTAATATCCTTGGGATGTCTTATTTAAGTCGCTATGTCCAGAGATATGAGAGGATATCCTGAAGATGTTGATGTCAGATGTCCTGAGGATATTCATACTGCATTGTCCGGAGGACTAAGGTCCGTTTCAGTGGCAAAGAGTTTATCTTTGGAGTAAAAAAAGGGTAGCAAATATTTGAGTTTTCTAGGACAGTGAAGTGTTTAATGAATGCATTTAAGAACCCTATTAATCAGAAATATGTTTTATTCCATTTGCAGATTCTTCAAGCTTCGTGGCATATCCAGGAGATTCGGACAGTGAGAATGAAGATGGAGTTCTTGAAAAAATCGCTTCCACCTTCGACCACTTATTCTCGGAGGACGAGGAAGGGGCATCAGACGATCCTCCATCGGATTCTGAAGGCATTGCGGATTTGGATGTTCATTCCGATTCGGGCGAGACAGAGACGGCCGATAATGAAGATGTTTTTGACGATGCGGCACCTGTGTTCTCCAGCCCTCACCGTCACCACGAGCATAGAACTGGTTAGTATTGTAACCCCCCCCTTTCTGACTAAATATTTGATTCCTTTTTTGAAACTCTTTGCAAAGAAAGTAATTTATATTCATTTCTGCATCTTTAGCGTGAAAAAGATGTAGCGCAACGTTGGTAATTTTTGCTGCAGCTTGAAGTTCTAAGAGAAGCGTTCTCGCGAGAGCTTTATGGTCACATGAAAGTAACATCGGAACGTGTAGTACAACGTTGGTAATTATTGTTACAGCCTGAAGTTTTAAGAAAAGCGTTCTCGCGAAAACTTTATATTCACATGAAAGTTGCACCTGAACGTGTAGCGTAACGTTAATAATTATTGCTACAGCTTTAAGTTCTAGGAGATGCGTTCACGCGAGAGCTTTATGGTCACATGAAAGTAGCACAAGAACGTGTAGCACAACGTTGGTAATTATTGTGACAGTTTGAAGTTCTAAGAGAAGCGTTCTCGCGAAAATTTTATGTTCACATGAGAGTAGCACTTGAACGTGTAGCGTAATGGTAATTATTCCTACAGCTTAAAGTTCTAAGAGAAGCATTCGTTCATTTATGGTCACATGAAAGTAGCACCGGGACGTTCAGAGGGCTTGTCGTTCGCTCTAAAATGACGTTACGTGCATATAGAACGTACTACATGACGTGCGAAAGCATGTCTTTGTACGTACGCTTCGGTGTCCACTGCGTAAAAAAAGGGACAGTTCTATGTCTCCCGTTCTACTGCGCTGATTGACGCAATTCATCTTTCGTTTTTCATGTCTCGAAAGAGTGATTTAGGATATGTATTAGATATACATATAGAGAGCATTGTTCTAATATATGTATTTTGACACAAAATCCGACTTTTTCTGAAATGGCATGCCAATTGTTTTCCGTATTTAGATTGTACTCAAATTACGCCAAACTGCCGTGCAGCTTGTTTTACAAAATTAGCCTTTAAAATTTTAGCTTCTCCATGTTAATTCAATTTGGTGTGTATTTATTAATATCACTTTTTTTATTACACTTACTGTATTCGTATTTTCACAGTCCGAAATTTAGATTCATTCAAAATAACATTCTCCCATTTTTCATGATTTATTTTTAAAATTTGTATCTTTAAATAATTTTTACAAATTTTTCGAAAAACATTTTGAATAATAACCTACAAAATTTTTACCATCATCTTAAAGTGGATGTGTTTCTAAGCATACCTGCAAAAAATTAGAGCTTTTTCTTCAAAATTTCCGAAGATATACACTTCAGTTTATATATTGGCGCTTTTCGAAATTTTCCATATTTGTTGAAAGCGATAATAACATCAAATGTGGTTTAGGCACTTTGTTAACGTTATTTGAAAGTAGGAAGGATGCGACTGTTTTCCTTTTCATGCACAATGTAAAAAGGTGAAGGAAAATAGGTTACCATATATTAAGAAGTTCACCAAGTGGATTATTCTTGGTGCAAACTGAAAAAATGCGTCAAGATAAATTTATAAATTTATCCATAAATTTCTCATCAAAAATTAAAAAATTTTATAACTACTTATAATCAGAGTCGTAGAATCGAAATATGGAAAAAACGTGGTATGCTATTTCAGAATCGATTTTGTGTCTGAAATACCTATATTAAAACAATGATATATATATGAACCTAATATATATATATCCTAGCTAGCGCTTTCGAGCCATGAAAAACGCAATCTGAATTGTCAATCGGCCCAGTAGAACGGGAGATATAGAACTGCCCCCCTTTTTTTCGCATTGTTCAACACTATTATTTTTCTAAACGCAATTCAGAGCGTTTTTTAGTATGTTAGATGAACATTCATACAAATGTCTTGGTAGTACCACATTTTGACGTTCTACTATCAGTTCTTGAATTGTAACCTTTTGACGTAATTCAGAACCTTTAAGGAGAATTCAGTTATAACGTTAGAGGAATACAAAATATAGTGAAACATTAATTTTAAATATGCCGACTGACATTTGTTTCAGCTCTTTCTAACGTGTTTACTTATTAAATAAATTACTTTAAATTAAACTGAAAGAAACCAATTAATGAAAGTTTCTAAGTTTTCGGAGAAGATTTTCAGGTGGAACAAATCTTGAGAATAATAATGACAACTTAGTCTCTTTCTCTTATTTGTTAAATTGGTCTTCGAGACCATAAATAAAAATACATGTGACTTGATGTAAATAAACTATTCTTATTACCGCACGATTTCGTTTAGATTCAAATAAAGTTTGAGGATTGGAGGAAAATTGCTAAAATTATGTTTGTCAGTCGGATTCTTTTTTTTTTATTATTATTCATTTCCAGTTGTGGAAAAAGGGTTGCTCATATAGAAATGGACTTCCAAGTAAAATGTTTACTCTTAATGCGAAAACTCGTAACTGACCTTATTTTAACTTCCGTGGACGAAGAAAAACGAAGTATTGTAATCGCGAAAAATTTCGGGTATCATATTTCAACAAATATTTATTTGAAATTTTGTATATAGGATTCCCATAAGACGTATATGTGCACGTCCCATTTTAGTTCCAATCGGCCGCGCCGAAAGTATATAAATATATCCACTCTGTTACTCGGCTGAGTGAGCTCAGTTTCTTTATTCTTCAGTTTATTCACTCTATTCAGTGTAAATTTTGCATTTTTTGCTTTAAAAACGATTGAATTATGTTGTTCTTATCATCCGGTTAAGGTTTTTAGGCCTTTACTTAACCTACATGCAGTAATTGTGGATTTATAAACGATTTAAAAGTTGTAAGTGTGGCTAAGCCTAAATTTGGAATACCATATATAGCAGCCATATTTGTTTACATTTGAAACCTAGCAGAATAGTTTATTTGCTGTCAATCTACAGAAACTAAGTTTCGCAACAACAAGTGGTTCCTTTTTGTTTGTTTAATTGCTTTTATACATCGTCTTAGATTTATTATAGTATTTGAATTAGAACATGTGGCAACGATTAGATAATTCTTCAGATGTCATAGTTCTTGCGCATTCTGAGTTATAAAATGAATGAGATGTAACGCTGTTAAGGGAGCCTAGTGTCGATGTGTCGCTATGGTAAATAAATAGAGTGAATTTTAAAGAGTGCATTTATGCACTTGTGATTTATGCGCTATAGACGAAGTAGATTTAATTGAAAATTCGTTAACTGTTAATTTAATACGTTTTAATAAAATGCAGGAAAATTGCGTATAATTTAATATTCTATATAAAGAAGTCATGTTGTGTATACATCAAATTTTTTTGACAAATACCAATAAAATTAATCATATCTATATCTTGAAATTTTTGAATAATGAATCTTTGAATAATCTCGAAATCCTGAAATTTTTTATCTAATAATCTTTGAATCTTGAATTTTTATATTACGCTTTAAATTAATTAGTTCCGTGTATAAATTTCTTGGTATAAATTTTCTGGAACGTAAACATTATTCACGTTCCTTTCTAATAGTATTAATGATAATGTAAACTTGGTAATGATAAAAACTGTTAATAACTAAAATCGTGAAATCTTAGCGACAAATACAGAATTGAAATGCCTTTGCGGAGCGATTAAAATAGCTTCTCTAGCGCCGCTAGTTTGAGATTACTGATATAGAACTTCTTCATGTTCTGCTAAACACGTGTTTATTCTAATATCCTGTAAAATGTCTCACTATTCCACCTACGTACGTAGGTATGTATGCATGTGTCTCCCATAACTCAAAAACGAGTGTGCGTAATGGCAAACCGCTCATTGACTTGATCAATGTTAAACGAATTTCGTTTACTGCGCATTCCCAGAATAAAATTTGGTGCAATTTTAAAAGAAGACAAATGCGGTATATGGTTGATATTGCGTTATGTGGGCGCAAACAGTTCGGGTTTTTAAAATGTTTTAGGTTGTAAATTGCTTCATTATTTGAAATGTAAATATCGACTGTAAACTGCGCAATTTTCGTGTAAGAAGGATTACAAAACAGGAAACATTACAAGATGAATCAGCTGAATACTTATTTATTATACTTCTGAGGAATAAAAGCAATTGAGTATTTACCATACGTCCATTCGTATATACTTTAACAAATTAAGGAATAAATCCAGTTTAAATTACTGAATTAAAGTCAAGTAACTGATATTAAATGTAATCTTTATGAACAAAATAAACCGAAATGAAACAGAAACACATGCAATAACCACACACAAATTTCCGTAGTATTGCAGATGTAAACAGTAAAATCAACACAGACTTGCGTACTGTTGCTTCTGCTTTTAGTCGCTAGTATTTCCTCCCACGCCAACGGTACACCATTGAGCATGCGCAGTAAGCGAAATTCGTTAACATTCATCAAGTCAATGTGCGGTTTGCCATTACGCAAAACGAGTAGCCTCAGAACGTTGAAATTTTGTGTATAGAACTGATGTAATATATAAGTTGTAGATGTGCACCTCCGATTTTGGTTGCAATCGACCAAACCAAAAACTATATAAATATATAATTAAGACACAATAACACGCCGAACAAATACTAATTCAGAAGTCAAACAACAAAAATCAGCGTTATATTTTCAAATTTTCACAGGACTAGTTTAGATGGTTTTACCGAACCACCATCGTCAGCTGCAAAATCGTCAGCTTTTGCAGCTGACGATGGTGGTTCGGTAAAACCATCGAAACTAGTCCTGTGAAAATTTGAAAATATAACGCTGATTTTTGTTGTTTGACTTCTGAATTATGTAAATATATGTCTATATATATCCACTCTGATACTCGGCTCAACCAATTGTTTCTTTATATTTATATGTTTGTAAATTGTGCATTTTTTTGCTTTAAAAATGATTGAATTGCGTAGTTCTTATCTCCCATTTAAGGTTTTTATGCCTTTAGTTAGCCTGCACGTAATAGTTATAGAATTATGGAACAATTTAAAAGTTTTTTAAGTGTGGCTAAGTTCTCTATAATGTTGGCCCGATTCACTTTTCAAATTGTTACCAGCAAATATTCTCGCCCTGAATTATATTTAAAGAAATTGCATAATCAAGAATTTGCATCAATGTATGTATATTTCTCGCATTGTTATAAAACAGCGGTACCTAGAGCCATCAAAATTTGAACAACGTGATCTTCCATAGAATACTGGCATGTGGAAGCCCTAATTTGAATTTGAAATTTGTCTTATTATCGATTTCAGATTTTGTAATACTTCCACGAATTTTTGATTAAGAAACTCGAGGATTTCAAAGGGAGCAATGGCAACGTTGTACAGGATAAACATTTTTATCTCCAGCGAGCGATACTGTGAATATGAGCACCTGGAAGCCCAAATTTGAAATTTGAAATCTTTCTATTATCTACTTCATAATTTGTAACCAATTTTTGATTAACAAACTCAAGGATTTCAAACCGAGCAATGGCAACACTCTACGGGCAAAAAAAAAAAAAAACCTTTTTATCCCCAGCGCGCGGAACTATGCATCGGAAATTCTAAAGATATACTCCATTTAAAATTATTTTGCGACATTGCTGTTGAACTGAATTTTATGGTTTAGGTGCAAAGAAAATTATATTTAATAAATAAAGTTAACACATAAAGCGTTAAAAAATTAATATAAAAAATCAGATTTTAAATTACGTCCAACGGGGTGTTTTTTTAACATTTTGTGTGTTACCTTTATTTATTAAACATCACGTTCTTCGCACTTATACCATAAAATTCAGTTCAAGACCAATATCGGAAATTAGTTTTAAATTGAATATATCTTTAGAATTTCCGATACAGAGTCTCGCGCGCTGGAGATAAAAATGTTTTTCCTGTACAACGTTGCCATCGCTCGCTGTGAAATAGACTTTATTATCAAAAATTCGTTTAAGATTTACAAAATATAAAATCGATCATAAAACAAATTCCAAATTTCAAATTTGGGCTTCCACATGCCCATATTCGCAGTAGGATTACGTCATTCAAAATTCGATGGCTCTATGTACCGTTGTTTTATCACAATGCGAGAAATATGCATACATTTATGCAGATTTTTCATTACTTAATTTCTTCAAATATAATGCAGGACTGTAACATTTTATGGCAACAGTTGGAAAAGTGTAACGGACATTTATAGTGAACGAACGAATAATCGCAAAATGAAAACAACTGTCCTTCAAGGACAAAGCCCCTTTGAACGTAATTTAAAATCTCAAAGCTTTCAGGTTTTTTTTTATATATTTATTTAATGGCTGGAAGTACGGTTATTTTATGTCCAGATTTCGAACTGTTACTCTATGTATAGCTGGATTTTGAACTTTTTTCTCATTTAATTCGAGTAACGAAACGAATAACTGTAACATTAAAACCGCCGTCAAAGGCTTTTATCAATAACGGTGCTAAATAACGATATGAAATATTTTTTACAGTGGATCCAATTGTGGAAACGGCGATTTATTTGACAGTGGACTGCAGAGACACCATCAATCTTAACGTCACTCCTGCTATCATCTCAGTGCTGCAAGAAGTGCTCCAAGTAATACTTTATATTTCTTTCTAAACTAATTTCTTTTGCTTATTCGGAACCTTAATTTTATCTGTACCAATGTGGCCTTTTATTAATTTACATTGTACACTGCTCAAAACACAAAAACAAAAACACAAAAAAATGGAACAGTTCTACAGGGTGTACCGTAAATGTTGCGACAAACTTCTAGACGAGGTAGAGCACATTATCCGGATTAAGAATTGTATTGGAACCTATAGCCGGAAATGTCAGGGATAAGTGGTAGCAGAGGTAGAAGATGAGAAAGGAAACAAGAGAGTGATTCATTTGAATCATTTTATTGGACATGAATACTAATGGTGTACGACAGCTTGAATGTTTCAACAGATGCTCAAAGTTTGCACCATCAGACGCTAAATATGCCTGACACCGACAGACCATTGATTGCCGGGCATGTTCAAACAAACACACCGGGAGTTTGGTTGACTGTAGCAGCTGCGCAGGCGAGTCTTGCCACGAGATCCATTTCAGATACAACAGGATCGTCATACACGGCACTTTTGATAGCTCTCCACAAAACGAAACCAAGGCTCGATAATTCCGTTGAGCGTCGGGAGTTGGCTACGAACATCCTGTCCAAAATGAGTCCACTTCTTAATGACCCGTATCCGCACAAATTGTGATGCAGACGTGCAAACGAACCGTGGTGTTGTTGTTGTGTCTGTCGGGAAAGCGTTGTCTATAAATGCGTGCAGCGGTTCGTCCATTACCCGCAGCTATTCCATACACTAAGTGCATGTCTGCAAGCTCTCCGTTCGTATAACGTTCCATGCTCTTCGTGTGGTGCTTACCGCCCGAATGAGACAATCCTCACTTTCCACTAGCACTCTCCTGCAGAGCAGCCCCTGGCGGCGAATACTGACGTTTCTGGCCATGGGTTCCTATGCAATTCTTAATTCTTATGATGTACCTTACCTTCCCTAGCAGTTTGTCGCAACATTTGCGGTACACCCTATATATCGTCCGTTCTACAGGGGCGTTTGAAGAAATTCAACTTGCGTTTTTCCTGTCTCGAAAGCGCGACTTAGGATATGTATGAGATTTATATCTAGCATTTTTCTAATATATAGGTATTTTGACACAAAATCGGACTTTGTCCGAAATGACATACCGAAATTTTTCCATATTTCGATTCTACGACTCAAATTATGCCAAACTGCCAAGTTTAGTAAAAATCGCTCGTGTAGATTGTAAAATATTAGCTCTCAGAATTTTAACTCCTCAATGTTAATTGAATTTGGTATACATTTATTAATATCCTTTTTTGTACTAAACCTACTTAACTCCTTCTTTCAGAATTCGAAGTTTAGGCTTAATCCAAATATAATTCGTACATTTCTTATAACTTATTTTTAAATATTTTCATAAATTTTTTGAAAAATTGTTGGTATACCTATAAAATTGTTAACATCATTTTAAAGTAGATATATTTCTAGGCACATCTGCAAAAAAATTAGAGATTTTATTCAAACGTCAAATGTGGTTTACGCATTTTGTTAAAATTATTTGAAAGTAATGAACGTGATCTTTTTTCGTTAGTGTACAATGAAAAAAAGGAAAGGAAAATAGGTTACTATAAATTAATAATTTCGCCAAGTGAAACTATTCTTGGCGTAAACTGGGAAAAAAAAAAATTCGCCAAAATAAATTTTTGAATTTCTTCGTAAATTTTGCACTAAAGTTTACAGAATTTAGTATTTAGGCATAATTTGAGTCGTAGAATCGAAATATGGGAAAAAAATTGTATGTTATTTCAGAAAAATTCCTATTTCGTGTGAAAATACCTACATTGGATTAATGCTATATAGAAATCTAAATATATATATATATACATCCTAAGTTACGCTTTCGAGACATGAGAAACGCAATTTGAATTTCGTTAATCGGACCAGTAGAACGGGAGATATAGAAATGTTTTTTTTTTTTTTTTTCGGGGTGGGGGAGCTGTGTACAGTGTTCTTTCATCGTAAGTTTTTGTAAAATGAGTGACTATTTTGAATTCGGGAAATTTCCTGAAGTGCCGCTCGCTGTAGATGTGCCTTGTCACTAAAGATACCGGCACCTTTATGCAGATCGGTGATTGTTCTTCACCATAAAGTTGCTGTGTAAAGTGATCGCTGATTGTTCGCTACCATAAAGGCGCTTTCTCTGAGTTATAATTTGATCTTTATAATGCTGCTGGCACCTTCGTGACTCCTAATAAAGATACTGAAAAATATTGTTATTCTTTACCCACTTTCTGTCAATGTGTAAGAAGCACAAAGGTGACGGTACTGTTATGAAGCTCAGTTTTTTTAAGCAAAGAGAAAAGTGCCGGAACTTTTTAAGAGAAAAGTGCCTGTACTTTTTAAACTTGCCCACGACAGTTAGACCAACCCCATTAGCTCTTGTGTGTGATACTATTTTAATTGCATTAATTGTTCTATTTCATTTCCTACATTTTATTCAACTAACTGTTACACTGCACGAACTAAATCTGCTTGGGCGTATCTTTAAGATTTTTTCCATCAGGAATTTACGTCTGCGGATATGAAGCTGCCTTCCGCCGTCTGCTCCGAGGAGCACAAAGAACTACTCCTGAGGAATTCGTTAGGTCCAGAAACCACACTTCAAATCCTGCAGGAGGAGGGTGGATCTTTCCGCGTGGCTGAAGAGACAAAAGGGTGGGCGCCCAAGGCCTCTGCACCGGACCCAGACCTCGTGACGCCCCTTGTCGATATCAGTCCCGCAGACTCGGATTCCGAAATGGCAGGGTAGGTTTCCTTCCTTTTCCGTTCTTTTCCTTTTGCCATTTTCTCCTCGTGTTTTAGTAGCTTAGCTACGAGGGCAGATCAAAAAGTAAGTTGTACTTCCAAGTTATGACCATTTATTAAACTGTCAATACAAAAGCAACGCGGCTATGACAGCATGCAGTGTAAGTTCACTTTTCCACGTAGTTTCCAAGACACTCTAAACATTTCTCCGAACGGACAACCAACGTTTTGATTCCGGGTGCATAGAAATCTCCTCTAGCGCTATGTAACCACACGGAGACCGCTGCTTTCACCTTTCACCTCCTCATCATTTCGTAATCGTTGTCTACCGAGATGCTTTTTAAGCTTACCGAAAACATGAAAGTCACATGCCGCTAAATCCGGACTGTATGGAGGATGTTGCCGTACCTCCCACATGAATCGCTGCAGCAGGTCGCACATTTGGCGAGCCTGAGGTGTTGCGTCCATGTTTTCGGTAGGATTAAAAAGCATCTCTGTGGGCAACGATTCTGAAATGATGAGGAGACGAAAGCAGCGTGTGGTTACATAGCGCTGGAGGAGATTTCTAGGCATCCGGAAACGAAAAGTTGGTTGTTCATTCGGGGAAATGTTTTGAGTGTCTTGGGAACTATATGGAAAAGTGAACATCCATTGTATGCTGTCATAGTCGTGTTGCTTTTGTATTGACAATTTAATAAATGGTCATAACTTGGAAGTGCAACTTACTTTTTGATCTGCCCTCTTAGTTATCACTAAAAGATGCATCTAAGTTTTTCAGAATTAATCATAGTATATACTGCAATAAGCGCCTTTTCAAAGGATAATATTTGTCCACGGTTATTTACACAACTTAGCCGAGTGATAAGGTTAAAAGATGAGAAAAACATTAATGCAATTTATCTAATTTATAATAAATTAACAGCTCTGCGGCCAGCCTTCGTCTGGCTTTAAATGTACCGGAAAAATGCCTAAAGGGAACACCAAACGCTAAATTTAAGAACTGCTCAGTTTTACTCTGCAGAACAACTTTTTTTTTTTTTTTTTTTGCTGACCCCCTCTTTCTTTCCACCCCAACCCTCCGCACACCTTTTTTTTATATTTTAATTAATCCTTTTTTTTTCCGAGCAATTTTTGCAACTATACACTTGTATTTTTTTATTTTTATTTTTATTTTTTTTTTACAGTTTCCTCTAGTGGAAACACCTCCACATTCTTCCTGTTGTAAACCCGCAACCTCTTTAAGGTCCAGGCTCTCCTATTACTACTCTTTCTGCACCTGCGATTCTCCTTCTGTTCACGTTTCAGCTATTCCTTACATTCTCCCCCATTTTTCATCACTCATCTCTTCTCTTTGCTATCTTTGACTTATTAACATTCTTCGGGCCTCTGGCATACCACTACAACCTCTCGGTTTACGTGTTTATCACTTAAATATATGTGTATACTTACAAAATATCATGTGTACTGCTATTTATTGTGCTTACTGAAACTTTTGTGCATTAATAATTAATTATTTCCATCACACATTTGCTGTGTTGTGTACTGTAACTCTCACTCACTACGTGCTCAGTTTCAAGTTCTGCGCAAGTGATAATTTGTGTGCACTTTACATTGTAATTCTTCCTGCGGGCTCAATTTTAAGCACTGCTCAAGTGAACTACAGTTATGCAGTGGCTTTGTGATTTAGTGTATTCAGTGAATTAGAGACTCAGTGCCTTAATATAGAGATCTCAACAGATTCCTAATATAAGACTTCAACAGCAGTGCTTTAATGTAGAGATTACAGTGCCTTAAGATAGTTCCTATTTATAGTGCCACAATTTAGTGCTCAGTATAGTGCCTCTAATTGCCATAATATAGAGATTTCTACAGCATTCAGTGAGATAGTCTACACAGTGAAATTAGAGACTTAGTGCATAATTTTAAAGATTCCAATAGCAATTAGTGACTCTGCGGAATAGCAGAATAATTTATATATTTTTTTATTTATCATTAGTGATTTCATACAATAGACTCAATGCAGTATGTCTGAAATGCGTACCTCCACACACTGCAGTGATCTAGATTTGCCAAATCACTTAGTTTCAACTGACAGTTCGAGGTAATAAAAATATATTACCACGCCTCATAGCCACTCTAGAGATCTTTCGGGACATCGCATTACGTGGAACAGAGGTAGTCAACAAAGACGTGAACACTTCTGTAATCCCGCGCTGTACCACTGGCACTAACACCCCTTACCCTGAGGTGGTTACTTCAAGTACAAACACGGACTCCCTGCCAGTAACAGCAACTACGCAGGCTCCCAGGAACACCGGGGAAAGGCATAGCCACTTGAAGTCAGCGACAACACCATCAGCGATTGTGCCCCAGAAACCAACCTTTGCGGCAGTGCTTAAACAGTTCAGTAAACCCAGTCTGATCATCAACCCTTTAGGGAGTATCCATCCACGTGATCTAAGAACACAGTTACAGGAAAAGGTTCCACTTAGTGAGATCCCAGTTGTCGTCAACGCTATCAAAACCGGCTCCAAAAGGCGGACTAGAAGTTTTTTGTAATACAAACGAGGAGGTACTCAAGTTACAGGAGCACATCAAAAAAGCTGAGGTCCAGGCAGAGGTTCGTCTCAGGCAAAAGAGGCAGCCGAGAATAGCCATCCATAATGTTCCAGAACATGTTAAACCAGAACAGCTCATCGCAGAGCTCAGCGCAACAGCAGGTCTATCAGCAAGAGTATACAAACCCCTGTTCCGACTTAAAGAGCGCCGAGCAAACAGAGTCAAATGGGTTCTCGAGTGTACCACGGAGAGCTTTGGAATCGCCATCAACATCATCAGACGTCTGTTCACAGCATGGCAGGCTCATACTATCACGGAGTTCTTGGGAATCCGTAGATGTTATAGATGCCAGCAATTCGGGCACTCCCAGGATCTCTGCCGCAGCAAGAAACAGTTCTGTGCCTTCTGCGCTGGGTCGCACAACACCAAAGTCTGTCAAGCAGAGTCACCAGCCTGTATCAACTTGCGGGGACTGTAACTACCGCAACGGCACCTCCTACTACTTTGAACATCCGGCATACCACCCGGAATGCCCGATGTACCAGAGAGCCGTCTACAACACACGCTGCAACACACAATACTGAAGCTATAACATCTCAGCAGCCTACCAATGCTATGTTACTACCTAATGCGTCTGAAGATAAGCAACACTATCTCACAAGAGATCCTACCGACAAATATCGACAACCCAGTCAACCTGATTCTAACTCATTCCTCAGCAGGCTCCATAAAATGCACGCAAATTAACCTCCAGCGGGCAGAAGCAGTTAAAGGCTACGCTCGAAACGTACTGCAGCGCTTTTACGTTACCAGCGTAGCGTCCAAACGAGTACACTTGCGAAGAGTCCCAATAGAATTATTTTGCGCATCACGTGACGCTGTAATATAGAACAGAGCCGTATCTTATTACTCGCTGTTCTTCTGTATGTTTGCGGCAAGTTGTCCGAATCAGATGATTTTTTTTATAGCTGAAACTTACTGTGCAGCAGAGGCAAAACCGCAAAAATGGCAAGAATGGGTCCGAAGATTTATTTAGCGACTGCAAAGAGATATTTTTTTTTTTTTTTTTTTTTTTTACTGCCTTGTTTGCGAAAGGAATATCTGGAATTATTAAATTCCTACTATTAGCTCATCTCCCTATATCTTGTTCAAATTTTCAGACATAAAATGCTTTTTATCTCCATCAGTTCAAATACAATTTTTAAACTTGCGTGAATGAGCGCACACATTAAATTTTTTTAATTTTTAATTAAAAGAAATTATGTTTGTATTTTTATTATTTATTATGTTTGCGACCTAAGTAGGAATTGACTAATTTTTTTTTTGGCTTGTTTTTAATTCCTTCAGGATGAGTATCGAAGTTTGACAGACTTGCAGATTCCGATGAAAATTAGGATCAGTATATAAAGAGAATTAAATTACAATTCTCTTTAATACACCATCCACCATATAATAAAACCAACTTCTTCATATTTTTTAACTCGCTCTCCCTGGTCATTTATTTTTGAATTAGAATGAGGTTCAAACTTTGGACAGTTTATGAGAAATTATGTGCATGATAAAATATGCAATAAGTAAAAATAAAGAGAGAATTTATAGATGAATATGATAAAGAGATGCAGATTATTTTACATAAGATCATTTGCATGCACATTTTTAAACTAAATTGAAAACAATAATAATAATGAATAAAATAAGAAATGAAAACAATAATAATAGATAAAATAAGAATACAATGATTCATGATTAAATATAAGAAACACGTTTCAAAATGAGAAAAGCTTAACTTAATTACCGTCTACGGGTGAGGTTCGAACTCGCCACCTTTCCATTCTTCCGCCACCAAAGCAGCGCGCTAACCACTCAGCTATCTGCGATAGGCAGTTTTTCTGAAAAATAATGTATCAAGTAGAAGTCGCTACAAAGGTAATTTAATTAAACTTCAATAAATGATTGCTGTATGACACAATTGTAACTTTCCTAATTCGTAATTGATTTTATTGAATACTCTTTCACAGTCAACTGCTTTATTTTAGAAGTAATATTGCTGAAGTTACTATTACACATGATATAGCCAATATTTATAATAATTAAGGAGAATTTTGTAAGGCAGAAACTTTGATTTCGTAGAAACTGTAATTTATTTAGGTTCCTATTACTTACGGTGTTATAATAGGTGAAGCATATGGATATACTGGTCGGAACATTGCTTTAAAGTATACAGTTTTCAATGAGAATTTTAAATGTATACTAATATGTACGGTTTGAGAAATCTGAAAATGGCGTGAACAATGCTGATTATTTTATTGTTGTATACAGTTATATTTCTAAGCAAAAACTATCTCTGTGTGGCTCTGACGCCATATTGAAACGGGTACAAGAAACCCAATTTTAACGACAGCAACGCAACTAGTGCAGCATGTCCTCGATCATGAGATAGA